GGGAGTGGGGCTCACTCTCGAGGCTGAAGAACTGAAAACTATCATCTTCCTGAGAGGAAACCATCCATCTAGTGGTCAGCTGGCCAACAATGCCCCCCCTTCAAGAGAACAATGTCTCATGACCCCGGAGTCTTCCAGATGGCCTTTGCCTTGACTCATTCTAAGACCTGGTCTCATTGTAAGACACAGAGAAATCAGCCTTGCATCTTGGTCCTCCTGCTGGGCTGACCCAGCAAAAGGTCCATCCCAGTCCCTCTCCCCCACCTTGGCCTAAACAAAGAGAACAGCATTGGGACTTACGTGGGAACAGAACCGCTCAGGGGGGTCTCCGCATGTGATGCCTGAGGGCTCCACTTTCACCTTGACATAGTCCTTCAGGCGCATCACCTTGGGCTGGCAGGCGTAGAACTCCCAGGTGGGGCCCTCATCTGTGGTCACCCAGGATTTGCAGATGTCGTAGTCCCCAGAGGCCAGCGGGAGGCAGTGCAGGAAGAGGACCAGCAGGTGCAGCATGGCTGCGCAGGCCTGGGGGCGCAGCCAGGAAAGGCCCTGGAGAGGCAGCAAGGGGGTCAGGTGGGACTCGCAGCTTCAGCATGGAAATGCCACATCGACTGGATGATGGTGGCCGGGATGTCCCAGGATCTCAAGCACAGAAGGTTTGCAAACAGCAAGGAACTTTTTTTTCCGAAAGGCTGATAGAGAAAATTCAGAGCCAGCGTTTCTCAGACTGCTGATGGGCAGATCAAAAAGTTGCCCATAACTTTGCGTCCTCCTAACCTTGGCATCACACCTCTCCCGGAGGTGAATCTGATCAAATCAGGCAGACTCTCAAATTGTGACAGTGGATGGAAATAGGATAAGGAGAAAATCCACAGGGATCCAGCATGAGACCAGATCAGATTGCTTTTAATTTTTGTCCGTCCAATCAATCCAGGTCTTTAAAGGGGCCTTAATGTGTGATGCGGTCAACACAGCTGCAAAACAACCTGCCAGCCTGTGTTGTAAAGATAAAATAAAATCAGGAGTTGTGCATGTAGCTGGAAACACGTTCCCTCTTTGGCACTGGACTTGGCATCTCAGACCAATAAAAGAGATTTCTTTTCATGTGGGCTTAAAGTGACAACAATGGTACAACTGAACTGGAAAATAAAAAAACTACTGAGGTGTTAACTGCAGAGAAGGTTATTTGGCTGTGCTTTGGTGGGGACAGGTACTAATGGGGGCCAGCTGACCTTGGCTGGTAGCCATCAGCAACTTATTATGAAGTTTCTGAGATTTCAGCTCTCAGTCCATCCAGGTACCCGCGGTCTGGCTTGCCTTTCATTGTAAGACGGGAGGGGAGAGAGAGAGAGTGCGCTCATTAGCAACAACACCTGCAACAAATTAAAAAGGGGGAGAATAGAGATGTGAAAGAACAAAAGATCTCCAGCAAAATGCACAAAAAAAGAAGCTGCATTAGCGAGGTCTCCCGAGAAAACTGGGTTATTTTTATTAATATGAGAGTTGCACATTTGGAGACTGGGCATGTTATTTAAGAGGTGGTACCTTTTCTCTCATTTATAAGAGTGTTAGTTCAGCAGAAGTGCCCCTGCTTGGGGGTCGGAGACTTGCTAAAGCATCCCCAGGAGCCAAGATTTAATGGTTGCTTTAAAATACCATGACTGACAAGTCAAAATGTCAAAGCTGCTACGGCAGAGCTGAGTCCGTAACTCCAGGTGCACGTGAACAGGACTGATCCGCGTGCAGGCCGACAATTAGAACCACATACCAGTAAGTATCTCCCTGACCAAAGGCACAATCCCAACTGGTGAATTTAATTTTTTTAACTGTAAGAAACTAGGATGCTTAAGACTTCCATATAAATAATGGTGTTTTGTTATATTAGGCTTTCTGCTCAAGGCCAATGTTTTACAGTCATCTTTAGAGGGTATGTCTATAAATCGATCACTAGTATGAATATTGCTTTACTATTTTAAGTTTCTGATAATTATTTAAAAGCTAAAATACTAGATGTAATTAACATGAATGTTACAATGGGAAATACATGACTCCAGTAATGGGTGTGTTCCCAGGCGCTTGGTACACCACCAGGAAAATTTGAATCCAGCCAGCATTCGATTCTGGCCAAACATATTGACCAATAGGACAAAGGTGACTGCAATGAGTTACAGTAGAAGGGCTTGCATTATTATTCTAGTTATTATGATTGTTGCATTTAAATTCCCAAACTGCCCAGACATTGGTGCTGAATCTCAGCCTGCTGCTCACCTGACATGCTCTTCAGCCATTGCACATGGAAGGTTCCTGAAGAGTTAACTGGTTAACTGTGTTACCACAAAACCCCATTACTTACACACACACACACACACACACACACACACACACACGGCTCCTGCCAAAAATGGCAAAACTGAGGGGTGAGCACCTGCTGCCCTCAGCACCCCAGGCTTCAGAGAAGCCCCCAGCCATCACCCCTGCTCCAGGCCTGGGACTCATCCGTCAGCATTAGGTAACCCTGTCCCTGTGTCTGATGGAGATGAATGAGAACCCGACCAGGACCACACTCTGACGTTTCACCCCTGGCTGTTCCAATAGAAACCTGTTATACAGCCTGCCTGGCCTTGAATGCGCTCCTTGCTAGAAAACTCTCAGAAACAACGCGCCCATCGTCTATTTTTACAACCTGAGAAAATGTAGTAAAAATAAAATAGCGCGGCCGGCAAAGGTTTGGATGCCTCTACCCAAGCTCCGCTGCCCAGAAAACAGCACGTCCCTAATTAATTCTTCCAGCAGCCGACTCCCAACTGTTCACTAACAGGTAGGGAGCTCCTGGCTGCTGGGACAACCAGGACACCAGGCTGTGGTTTGCAAGGAGGGCCCAGCTTCCGGCGTCCTCCATCTGCAGGACCAGTAGCCACTCTGGGCTTGGAGCGGCTGGACGCAGCCAGGGCGGGGAGGAAGCGCAGGGAGGCAGCAAGGCTGGAGGCTGGGGAGGCGCAACTCACAAATCTATTAATTGCTTTGCAGTTCTGTTGGCTTAAATGCCACGCATTCCCGGGAAAATGGAAAAGAAAAAAAAAGCCAACAACAAAATCTGCCGGGGGGTGGGGTTGGGGGAGAATGTGTTTACGACCAGTCAATCAATTGGGCGTTGCTGGCATCTTAGTAGGAATTGTGAGCTCAGCACACGAATATTACAGTCGGTTTTTGCCAAAAAGGAAAAAGAGGAGTGGGGAGCGAGGCAAGAGTCCCCGGAATATCCAGGATAGCAGAGAGTGAGAAGCCGGCAGGGGAAATTTCAGAGTAAGAGGTCGTATCCCGGCGGATCGTTTTCTCCGCGGAAAATATATCTTCACCTGATATTATTAAGAAGCTGCAGCTCCCAGAAACAAATAGAATCAATGTCGTTTATTTTCTTTTAAGAGTCCTCAGGAACCGAGGGGGGCTGATAGCCAGGGTATTAAAACCCGAAAATTAGATTTTATCAGGATTTCTGAACTCAGATTTCTCTGTCTTATTGAATTAGCGCCTCCCGGAGCTGGCTGGGCTCGCCGCAGGCTCCTCCCGGAGTTGCCGGCTGCGCCTCGCCCTATGGGAAACTTGCCCCAGCGGGCGCGGGCCCCGGGGGACACCGGAGGGAGGGCGCCAGGGGCTGCTTGGGGACCCAGCCCGCCCCGAGGGTTCCTCTCTCCTCTCAGCCAGGAGGCAAAGAGGGATGAAATCTGTCTTTCGGGGGTGGTACCCGGGGCGAGGAGGTAAAGGAGGCGCTCGATCCGGCCGGGGTCACCTTCGCGTCCTCCGCCCCGGGCGGGGTCTAGTAGGTGCTGGGCGTTCGCCTCCAGCTCAGAGGGCGCCTGGGTTCCCGCGTCCCGGTCCTCCTCACCCTCGGGAAAGGGCGCTTTCTCCGGCTCCCGCGTCCCTCCTCACCCTGCGCCTTCTCAGTGGCCCGGGAGCTCCGTAAAGTTGGGCGCAGGGGGCGGGACGCGAGCAGCAGGCCCCGGGGTGGCTGGGGCCGCGCGGTGGTTCGCAGCCGGCCGGCGGGCGGGGTTAGCCCGGGACCGCAGGCGCCACCGGGTCGGGGTCGGGTTAGAGCTCTGGGCCAGCTGCAAACGGAGTGTGTTGCACTGAGACTAGCGGGGCAAACCCGTGGCTGCTTTTTGTCTTTCCTAAGTTGCGTGCAAGCCACGGGAGCAAAGAATAATTATGCCTTTCATAAAGGCCGGGCCGGCAGTGAGGTGCCCCCTCATTTAGCACCGCCTCCTTTAATTAAAAGACACCAGCAAAGCGCCAGAGAACTAGTTGCATGTATTTCCCCGGCGTTGCTCCCAGAGGCGACCCTGACGCCGCCGCCCCCCGCCCAGACAGACAACTTACTCCGGAGCGGGTGGACCCCGCGAGCCCGCGGTCCTCTTCCCGCCTTCCCTCCGCCTTTGCTCCCCCCACCTGCGCACCACGCCAGATGGGGACAAAGTTCCACTCCACACGGCCCCCACGCCGATCCCCGTGCCCCTCACCCACGTACTACCGATCCCCTCCACGGCACCGAAAGAAGTTTCCAGCCGTAGCTGGCCAAGAGTTTCCTGTGCAACTCACGTTCCCCAGTTTGCAGAGATGGGCGAGCATGGGATGGGGGTGGCGCTGCAAGGTGGCGATGAAATGGGGGGGAGTGGCGCGAGAGCGGGGTTCATTTCCTTTTCATAAACACATCCAAGCGTTCTTGCAACATCCACCCTCACCAGCGCGCGCACACACACACACACACACACACGCGACAGAAAAAGACCCGGGGTTGGGGGAGCCAGCTAGAAGCATAAGCTACTCCTTTAAGATGCCGCCACAAACGCACATCACACACCCCTCTCGGGCGACTCCAGTCCTCCGCTAGTAACAGCCGCTACCAAATAACTTTTGCATTCGAGCCTTTGCGGGGCTGCTGTAAGTGGCTCCTGGGCCCCAGGAAGCCTGCATGGTCACCAAAGCCCTTTAAAAATGAAACCAGGCTGGCGAAGCCGCAGCATCTCTCCCCCCGCTCGCCTCCCGGGCTCTCCCCGCCCGCCTTACCCCGGCTCGGAGCAGCTTCCAGGAGCGGGGACCCGCGAGGCCGAGGACCGCCACCCGCTGGCGCTCCGCCTCCCCCTCGGGCTGGCTCTGGGCGGGGGCGAGGGCCGAAGGGCTGCGAGCCGCGGCTCCTTCCCCGCG